CTATCCCTCCCAATTTGGTATCATCTGCAAACTTGATTTTTTTGGTGGGGTCGTGTCAGGAGTAACTTGAGAAACTGCAAGTCACTTCTGGTGTGAGAGAATTGGCCGTCTGCAAGGACGTTGCCCAGGGGATGCCCGGATGTTTTGATGTTTTACCATCCTTGTGGGAGGCTTCTCTCATGACCCCGCAATGGGGAGCTGGAGCTGATAGAGGGAGCTCATCCATGCTCTCCCCGGATTTGAACCTGCAACCTGTCAGTCCTGCTGGCACAAGGATTTAACCCACTGCACCACCGGGGGCTCCTTTGCAAACTTGATGATCGTGCCTTCTAACCCTTCATCTAAGTCATTAATAAAGATGTTGAACAGGAACAGGCCCATTGATGGCTGCTACTTTCCAGTGGATGTCAGGTGGTGCAATATCACCTAAGCAGTATAATTTCTTCAGTGGTGTAGGGCGCAGACATCCTGTGATAATGTGGCATGTCTCATTAAGTGCCAGATCCACTGTTTTAGCATGGTGAGATGTGTTCTACACTGGGCATGCGTACCCAGCAGCAGAGTAGGAAAGCACAAGGGCAGATGTCTTTGCTGTGTCTGGTTTTGATCCCCAGGTTGTGCCAGTCAGCTATCATAGGATATTATTTCTAGTGCCCACTTTTTACTTGATAGTCAAGCAGTGCTTCTTGTCAGAGGTCCTCCTGGTCAGTCGAAAGACCGAACAGGGCATAGGGTTAAAATCGATAGGAACTTTAGAAGGGTCTACCCCAGGAGGAGAGACCCTGCGGCCCCACCAAAGAGGGATCACTACGTTGTTGAGCAAAGAGAAGCCTAATTTTAAGTAATTTTATTTCCACAGGTTCCCAAAAAAAATCTCATCAAAGTTGAAGAAAGCGCCACCGAGATGTTTATTAGCGATTCAGCTGAAAAGGATGCAAAGCAGCGATCATTCGCCAAGCAGAGCATGCATGTACAGAAATAAATGCCATTTTTATAGAAAATACAGAGTTGTGTGGTTCAAAACTCCCGCTCCCCACCCCTCGCCCGGCTCGATGGTGATTGGCTTGTGCGCAAACAGCTGGGAGGAGGCTTGGCTTGGCCATTCCCCGTGCGCCTGGGCCAATCACAGGGCTTCCGCGGTGCACCTGAGCCAATCAGGAGGCTCCTGCCGCCTTGGCGCTCCAGCGAATGAGAACGGAGGGAGGCGGGATGAAGGAATACAATGCATTCTTGAGTGGATTATGGGGTTAAATGTCCAGGGGGCTTAACGAGCCTGCAAGAAAAGCCAATCTTATTGATTTGAGATAAGCATTGATCACTTAATCCAGGTTTTCCTCTTGCGGTCAGATTGGGGCACAAAGGGGGAGACTTTGGTGAATGTCTTCAATTGAAAGGTTTGAAAGAAAAACAGGTTGGGAGGGAAAAGGGCTTTCCGAAGGTCATCTCCCCCCCCCCCCATTGTTATATGATTAAAAAGTCTGCAAAATGATTATTTTCTTGATGGCCCGACTCCGAAGTCAAGAAAGATATTCCTTTGTTATTTTCCATGCAAGAAATGTTCCAAGATAAGGGTTTTCACAATCACTAATCACATTACCAGAGGCAGGGCAACTTTCTTATACATTTTTCCTCAAGGAAATGGGAAAGGGCAAAAGGGGTCAGGGCGAGGTCAGATACATGAAGGGAAATATAGAAATATAGGAATCACGATGAAAAATCATATCCAGGCATCCCTTCCCTCCCTCCCCCCTACAGAGCAATTGATAAAAGTCTTGCTCACAGCACAAGATGAATTCATAGTTCATTTTGGGAAAATTCATGGGTGAAAACAGGTTAATGAAGGAAAATGAAGTCCAAAAAGAATGTGGCAGAAAGTCCAAAAGTCACAAAAAGGAGTTTGGTGATTTCCACTGATCCAAAAGATGGAGTCCTGCAGCGCTGAGGTCGAAGCTTGTCCTTGGTCCTTGGAAAACTATAGCTCCTTCCAAGGGCTGAAGCCTGATGACTGGACTGCTCCCTGAAAGCCCCATGGGGTAACCGCATTAAGTCTCCAGGGCAGGGGGCTTCAGAAGGATGAAGGAACAGCGAGAGCAGAGGCAGTGCGGCAGCAGCAAGGCTTGGATTTTGACAATCAGCTGTTTCCCTTTAAAAAAATATCCTTAACAAACCAAAGGTTATTCCCCGAGCGTAGGGGCCCGAAATGCAAAAAGATAGGTTTAGAATTTAGCTAGGAAAAAATGGCATCAAAATGGAGTCGATCCGTCAACTCGTGGATATGGGGAGGCTGAGGGGTTTCCGTATACATGGTTTGAAGGAACGCAGATTCGGCCTCCCTGGGACGCCAGGAAGGCATCCCAGGTAGGCCTGTGGTCTCCCGTGGCCTGGAAAAGGTTATTTCATGCATTGAGACAGTTTGAGTCAGGAAAGGGACACAAAGTATCATTCTGGAGAGGTTAGGGTTACAATTCAATTAGCCTTTATTGAGGGATTTCTTACATAGTTTGGGCTGGGAAAAGAAGTGAGAGCATAAGGCTGCAAAGAATTCCTGGTTGAGGCTGCTGCTGGGGCACATTTCATCGGTTTTGGCCCAACTGGGCATCCAGGAACTGCGGAACTCCCTGCGGCTGGTCAGATCAGCTTGAAGGCAGGGGTCTGGGATGCCCTCGACGACAGGGTTACAGCCTGTGTTGGATGGGGTTACACTCCCTCTGAAGACACAGGTTCGCAGCTTGGGAGTGATCCTGGATTCAATCGCTGAGCCTGGAACCGCAGGTTTCGGTGGTGGCCAGGGGAGCTTTTGCACAATTAAAACTTGTGCACCAGTTGTGCCTGTACCTTGGAAAGTCTGATCTGGCCACGGTGGTCCACGCTCTGGTTACATCCTGAATAGATTACTGCAACGCGCTCTACGTGGGGCTGCCTTTGAAGACGGTTCGGAAACTTCAGTTAGTTCAACGGGCAGCAGCCAGATTACTAACTGGGGTGGCATACAGGGAGCATACCACCCCCCTGTTATGCCAGCTCCACTGGCTGCCGGTCCATCTCCGAGCCCAATTCAAAGTGCTGGTTTTGACCTATAAAGCTCTATATGGTTCTGGCCCAGCTTACTTGTCCGAACGCATCTGCCCCTACGTCCCACCTTGCAATTTAAGATCATCCGGGAAGGCCCTGCTCTCACTCCCATCAACAGCGCAAATGCGGCTGGCAGGGACGAGGAGCAGGGCCTTCTCAGCTGTGGTCTCTCACCTATGGAACACACTCCCAAAGGAGGTAAGATCTGTTCCCTCGCTCCTGACCTTTAGAAAAAAAAATTAAAATCATGGTTCTGGGACCAAGCTTTTAGATGTATGCAGCTTTTAGTGGGACAAGGACTGGAATGGCGACTCGACTGATGGGATTATTTTATGGTTTTAATAACTGTTTTGATATTTGATGATGTACTGTTTTTAATATGATTTATATTTAAAGTGTGGTTTTACTGTTGTAGTTGTAAGGCATTGAATTTTTGCCATTATCTATGTGTAAACCAATTTGAGTCCCCCTCGGGGTGAGAAAAGCGGTATATAAAATCTATATAAATAAAAATGTAATGTTAGTTCGTGCTACCATCAGAACTCAAAAACCACTGGGGGAATTGACACCAAATTTGGACACAAGACACCTAACAGTCCAATTTATGTCCTCCACTCAAAAAAATGATTTTGTCATTTGGGAATTGTCGTTGCTGGGATTTATAGTTTACCTACAATCAAAGAGCATTCTGAACTCCACCAATGATGGAATTGGGCTGAACTTAGCACACAGGGCTCCCATGACCAACAGAACACACTGGAAGGGTTTGGTGGGCATTGACCTTGAGTTTGGGAGTTGTAGTTCACCTACATCCATAGAGGACTGTGGACTCAAAGAATGATGGATCTGGACCAAACTTGACACAAATATTCCATATGCCCAAATATGAATACAGATGGAGTTTGGAGGAAATAGACCATGACATTTGGGATTTGTAGTTGCTGGGATTTATAGTTCACCTACAATCAAAGAGCATTCTGAACTCCACCAATGATGGAATTGAACCAAACTTGGCACACAGGACTCCCATGACCAACAGAACACACTGGAAGGGTTTGGTGGGCATTGACCTTGAGTTTGGGAGTTGTAGTTCACCTACATCCAGAGAGCACTGTGGACTCAAACAATGATGGATCTGGACCAAACTTGGCACAAATATTCCATATGCCCAAATATGAACACAGATGGAGTTTGGAGGAAATAGACCTTGACATTTGGGAGTTGTAGTTACTGGGATTTATAGTTCACTACAATTAAAGAGCATTCTGAAACCCACAAACGACAGAAATGGGGCAAACTTCCCACACAGAACCCCCATGACCAACAGAAAATACTGAAGGCCATCCAGTCCAACTCTCTTCACCAGGGCAAGAAAATGTAATCAGAGCCCTCCTGACAAAGAGCCATCCAGTCATAAATATAGATAGATATGATTCTCTCTCTCACACACAGATATAGTATCATAGATTTGAAAGAGACCCTTAAAGAAGGACTATGATATGTTGCATATTCCAGAGTAGGCAAACCAGACACTCTCCACATCAACACTGACAAAGAAACAACAAGAAATACTGTTTACTCACAAGCATAAAGGAATTACATATATTAGAAACCAACACTTTCTCATTACTTTATTTTCCAGATCACCAGACTGGGCCACAGCAACGCGTGGCAGGGGACAGCTAGTAAAAGAAATAAATAAGACAAAGCAGGGTTCAGAGTGACTCCCAGATATGTGGGTGTGCTCCAATGCTCCAATGAGATTCCTTCCGCCATGCAACCAGAATGGCATTTTGGTTCAGAGACTCTTAACCCTGAACGCCCCCTTCCGGCCAGCCAGCCAGCCAATCAGAGCTCTTTCCCCGCCCCTGTCTACAAGAGGGGCGGGGATTTGGGCGTGACGCCTATTGTCCGCGACGAAGGGGGGGGGGTGCTCGACCTCAGTAGCGGTTGCCATGGCGATTATGGCGGCGCGGATGGGCTGGGCCCAGCCTCTACGGCTCGTCGGCCTTGGCTCTTCTTTTTCCTTTTCTTCGTCTGCGGCGGGGGGAGGCCGGCCCCGGGGCCTGGCCTACGAAGAGCACGGGGAACCTGCCCGGGTGCTGCGGTAAAGGCCGGCATGAAGGCTCCCTCCTCTCTCCCGTGGAAGAAGGCCTAGGCCTCTCGCGTTTCAGCAGGGAAGCCTCCTGGGCTTTGCAGTTTTACATAGAGGCAATCCGTCACGAGAAAGTAGTGCAATGTCTAGGTGCTTGTGGGTTTTTTCGGGCTATAGAGCCATGTTCTAGAGGCATTTCTCCTGACGTTTCGCCTGCATCTATGGCAAGCATCCTCAGAGGTAGTGAGCTTGACCTGTGAGGATGCTTGCCATAGATGCAGGCGAAACGTCAGGAGAAATGCCTCTAGAACATGGCCATATAGCCCGAAAAAACCCACAAGAACTGAGTGATTCCAGCCATGAAAGCCTTCGACAATACATAGTGCAATGTCCTTGCAGACAGCCAATTCTCTCACACCAGAAGCGACTTGCAGTTTCTCAAGTTGCTCCTGACACGACAAAAAAAGACCAAGTTGTATTTCACCCAGGGTGAAGTTAGGTTAAGAGGGGGCACTGCAAGGGAAGAGGGACTCGTGCTTTAAGGCCCGTTCTACGTTGCCATGATTGATTGATCGATTGATATCCCGCTTTATTTGTGAATCATAGAATCAAAGAGTTGGAAGAGACCTCATGGGCCATCCAGTCCAACCCACTGCCAAGAAGCAGGAATATTGCATTCAAATCACCCCTGACAGATGGCCATCCAGCCTCTGTTTAAAAGCTTCCAAAGAAGGAGCCTCCACCACACTCCGGGGCAGAGAGTTCCACTGCTGAACAGCTCTCACAGTCAGGAAGTTCTTCCTCATGTTCAGATGGAATCTCCTCTCTTGTAGTTTGAAGCCATTGTTCCCTTGCGTCCTAGTCTCCAGGGAAGCAGAAAACAAGCGTGCTCACAATTGAAAATATTGCAACTTAGAATATACAAATACAGAATAACAAAACAGCATATTACATACTATTGTATATGATTCGTAGTAATTATATGTAATATATTAGAGTTACAGTATTATTATACATAAATATATTGTACTAACAGTCCCCTGCCACGCGTTGCTATGGCCCAGTCTGGTAGTCTGGAAAATAAAGTAATTAGAAAGTGCTGGTTTCTCATATATGTAATGTCTTGTGAGTAAACAGTACTTCTTTGTTGTTTCTTTGTCAACGTTGCCTACTCTGGAACATGCAATATATAATTGTCCTTCTTTAGGGGTCCCTTTCAAATCTATGATACTATATCTGTGTGTGTATCATATCTATCTATATCTATGGCTTGGATGGCTCTCTGTCAGGAGGGCTTTGATTACGTTTTCTTGCCCTGGTGAAGGGAGTTGGACTGGATGGCCTTAAGTATTTTCTGTTGGTCATGGGGGTTCTGTGTGGGAAGTTTGCCCCAGTTCTGTCATTCGTGGGGTTCATTCAGAATGGTCTTTGATTGTAGGTGAACTATAAATCCCAGTAACTACAACTCTCAAATGCCAAGGTCTATTTCCCCCAAACTCCATCTGTGTTCATATTTGGGCATTTTGAGTACCAGTGCCAAGTTTGGTGCTGATCCATCATTGTTTGAGTCCACAGTGCTCTATGGATGTAGGTGAACTACAACTCTCAAACTCAAAGTCCATGCCCACCAAACCCTTCCAATATTTTCTGTTGTTCATGGGAGTTCTGTGTGCCAAGTTTGGTTCAATTCCATCATTGATGGAGTTCAGAATGCTCTTTGATTGTAGGTGAACTATAAATCCCAGCAACTACAACTCCCAAATGACAAAATCATAATTTTTTGAGTGATGGTCACTCCTTGTGTTGTGAGACGTTTTGTTGCCAAATTTAGTGTGATTCTGTGTATTGGTTCTTTTGTTTTTAAGGAACTCATTATGCACAGAGCATTTTTATATATATAGATTATTATATTGTATTACATTATAATATCATCAATATATGTATATACAATATATTATATAATTAGCCTAGCACAATATTCGTATTATATAATTATTGTACTATACTGCAATATTATTAGTAATATTACATGGAATATATAATATACAGTAGAGTCTCGCTTATCCAACCATCACTCATCCAACGTTTTGTGTTATCCAACGCAGTCTGCCTCCCACCCAGATCCATAGCTGCGATGTTTTGGTGCTAAATTCGTAAATATAGTAATTACTACATAATGTTGCCATATATTGAACTTCTGTCGATTTGCTGTTAAACATGATGTTTTGGTGCTTAATTTGCTTATTCAACATTCTGCCTGCCCATTTATCTTGGATAAGAGAGACTCTACTGTACAACTATTATATTATTATATTATTATTATATTGTACTATATTATTATACCACAACATATGTAATGCACTACCAGTATATTATACTATTAGTATTATGTAATATACTGTACTATATCCAGACGATCTGCTCTAAACTCGATTATATGGCAGTGTAGACTTGTATAATCCAGTTCAAAGCAGAACACATGGATTATCTGCTTTAATAATCCAGGTCCCTTCCACCCAGCCATATAATCCAGTTCAGAGCAGTGTAGTAGGGGCCAAAACCGTCCTATATCTCCAGACCTGATCCCTGATTATCTACTTTGAACTGAATTATATGAGACAGGCCCTATATCCCAGGATCTGATCCCAGGTTTTCTGTTTATCCCAGATTATCTGGCAGTGTGGACTCATATAATCCAGTTGAAAGCAGACAACCTGGGATCAGATCCTGGGATATAGGGCCTGTCTGGAAGAGCCCTGAGGCCCCTTCCAGATAGCTGAATAAAATCCCACATCTGCTTTGAACTGGGATATATGGCAGTGTAGACTCAAGTATTCCAGTTCAAAGCAGATATCGTGGTTTATTCTGCCTTCATGTGTTGAGTTATATGGCTGTGTGGAAGGGCCCTGAGTCTATACTGCCAGATACAATCTGGGATAAGAAGATAATCTGGGATCAGATACTGGAGCCCCTTCCACACTGCCATATAATCCAGATGATCAATGTGGATTATCCACATGATCTGCTTTGAACTGGATTTTATGAGTCTACACTGCCAGATATAATCTGGGATAAGAAGATAATATGGTATGTGCTCCTGGAACCCCTTCTACACTGCCATATAATCTAGGACACTTCCACACAGCTGAATAAAATCCCACATTATCTGCTTTGAACTGGGTTATATGGACTCAGTGTGGACTCAGATAACCCAGTTCAAAGCAGATATTGTGGACTATCTGCCTTGATATTCTGGGTTATATGGCTGTGTGGAAGGGCCCTTAATCACAGTTTGTGTGTTTTAACAATTGCTATTCTCTTGTAGATAAATGAAATAAGTAGCTGTTCTGGCTATAAAAAAAGCTAGTAATTAAAATAATCCTTTTGCTGGTTTAAAAGGAATGGGAGCTTTATCCATTATATTGACATTGACACTAAGGCCAGCCCATCTTCATAGGCTGACACTGTGATTGGATTTTGCATTAGAAAGTGCCACTACTCAAATTTTCCCTACAAAAAAGACCCCCAAACACCAGAAAATCAATTTAGGGTATGTCAAAATATAACAGGCTGGGAACAATCCAGCTTTTAAAAATCAAATGAGTCCTGTCTATCCTAGATTAAGTGGCAAGTGCAGAGTTTCCTTAATTATTTATTAAGGTGGTTTCTCAAATAGTAAAAGAAAACAAAGGATCGGCAAGTGCTTTTACAGAAAATTGTTGGGATGTTGAAAGAGCTTTTAAAGAGAGAATGAAAGTTTGACACGCTCACCTGTTCTTATAAAAGGTGTTGAAATTAATATCTTTAAACCCAGACTTTACTCCAGTCAGATACTTTGAGAATTACAGTAGGGCTGAGAGGGAGAAAATCTTAGGGGTAATATTATATTTTGTGTGCCTTTTGCTGTAGGCTAAAAGACCTTGATCTGCCAGAAGTGGGAGATTTTGGAGTCCATGTGAAAATGCTTGCAGCTCCTATCAATCCATCAGATATCAATATGATTCAAGGTAATCTTGCCTTGCATTGAGATTGCATCATTCTGTTTCTTTAAATAATCCTCTCACTATTTGTATCATTTTTTTCATTACGTGCTGTCAAGTGGTCATTCAGGAAATTATTTCCCAAATTTAATGATTTAAAGTCAGCCCTCTCTATCCACAAATTCTGTATCCATGGATTCAAAATACCCACAGCTTGAAAATGTATTTAATATTTTTTCCAGAGGATAAATCTTTTGTTTCCATTTTATATCAGGGACACCATTGTATATAACGAGACTTGGGCATTAATGGATTTTGATACCCAGCCGAGGGGGGGGGGGGCTTCCTGAGATTGCACATAGCTTCACCTCCTGCACTAGATGTCCTGGCAGTTACCTTGTCCATATCAAACACTCGCCCAATGGCAATGAATGCTGCTGCTAATTGGTTTCATTTTAATTTCTCTATTTATTTTAACACACCCTACTTGTGGATTTGCCAAATCAACTACTTGTCATGATAGAAACAAAAAGCTGAACTACTTATACCAGCTGAGTTCTTGTGTCCATTCTCAGCCATCTCAGAAACCATTATAACTAAAGGTGACAGATCATAGCATTGTGGGATTGGTTTCTCAACAGCCTTCTAGTCCAACCTCTCGCTAGTGCAGAAAATCTACAGATAAAGCAGTCCTGAAAAGTGGCCATGCACTTGCTGTTTTCAAAACTTTTAGGAAGTGAAAGAGAGCCGTCATTCTGTTGATGTTGCAGGAACATATGCTACTCTGGCTGATTTGCCTGCCATAGGTGGAAATGAAGGAGTTGGAGAAGTGATGAGTACGGGACATAATGTGACATCTCTGAAGACAGGCGACTTGGTGATTCCAGCTGATGCAGGGCTTGGTGAGTTTGAATCTTTTTATCAATAGCAACAATTAAAAACCTGTATCATAAAGAGATTGGTAGGCAACAATGTAATAAGAAATTCAATGTGAAAATTTGATAAATGTGAATTTAATATGATGTGTGGGAATGAATGGAAGAATGGAAATTGTATGGATGGAGCTAATAATTTTGGAAACACCAGTATAATATTAAGGCCTGCAATGACTAACTACCTGCTTGCTGGACTTGCTAATGAGAAACCCTGATAAGAACTGGGACAGTGATAAAGGAAATGTTTACAACCTTCCTTATGTTAAGAAAGAAGTCAACATAAGATCAACACCAATCAAGAAGATAAACATCTGGCCAGGAAACTGAGGTGGATCCAGGATGGAAGATGTCTATCATTAATTTACAACTTTGGGACTACATCAACAGAATATTTCCTATAAAAGACTCAGGCTAATAATGCTCAAAGTGTGGCAGAGTCTGTTCCACCCGCCATGCTCTGCTCCATGGGAAGGAGAGAGATGGTGCATTCGGAGAGTGGCAGATTTGCATGGGAGCAGTCTGGTCACTTTGGGGCTTCTTTCTCAAGGGAAGAGGAAGAAGTGAGCTTTTGGAGTCTTGGATTTTGTGCAGGGAGTCAGGTTCTGCTGTGTGGAAAACAGAGATCTGGTCCTTGGCATTGTTCTTAGGGAAAGAATTTTTGGCATTTCAGCGTTTTGAAGTTTTGGCATTATGGAAGTTTTGGAACTGTGCGTTTGGTAGGCTGCAAGAAAGCAGGGTCTGGCCTAACAGGTGCTTCTCCAAGAAGGGAGAAAATGATATGGTAACATTTCGATGCATGTGAATGAATGTGTGTACATGTGGTGTGGATGTTGAGTGAAAATATAATTCCTCTTTGTTTGTTTGTTGACCAATGTAATTGTAAATCCATGTAGTTGCATAGAATCTGTATGTCTGTATGTTCAATGTCATTCTTTGTCTAAATGTTTTCTGTAATGTGATATAGCTTCTCACACTGGAAATTGCAATAAAAAGAACCTATGCTTCTAAGTCATTGAAAAGTAATTCATGACAACAATAGGAAAGAAACAAAATTCCATCAGGTGGCAGAACTCATCTGACAATCTTATTTCTCCAGTTTGGAAGATGCTGAAAACTTAGCAAACAGGAAGGACTCCTAATATTTATTGCCATAAAGACTGTGGAAAAATTTGGAATCTACTGGAAGTTGAGAAAATTTATTTTCTGACCTCTTCTTTTTCTTACTTGAGTTGATATTTCTGCCATTTGTAGATACTTTTAGCCTGAATTCTACCTTTTCCCTCCCCTCAATCTAGGAACGTGGCGAACAGAGGCAGTATTTGATGAGGAAAAATTGCTGAAAGTACCGCCTGATATCCCACTGATGTGTGCAGCCACCTTGAGTGTAAACCCCTGCACAGCTTATCGAATGTTGTCTGATTTTGAAGCCTTAAAACCAGGTGTGTACAGTGTGCCAGAGTAATAGAACAGCATTCTCCACAAGACTTTCCTCTAGTTCAAAGGTCCTTAGCCTTGGGTCCTCCAGAGCTAATGCGGTGCTTGGAACAACAAATATTTTTGGTGCGCTGCTCATTGGGCCACAAATGGTGATGCTGATCTGGAGTGGGGTATCCTGAGGCAGCATTGTCATGGTCTACATAGCTAGTCATCAAGTCAGGTCAGGCTGGCAGTTGTCCACATTGCATGCCCCGAACCAGCCAAGTGGCTAGGTGCCATCCACATGGCCATTCACATGATGCCACCCTTACCTTGTCTCTGTTCTTTTAGCCTTTGCAGTACCCACTGGGCACAAAAATGGCAGTTTTCTCTGTTTGGTGTCTGCAGTGATGACAAATTGAACAACAGGATGATGCCGGAGAGGAGAGAAAGGAGGTGTGCTGTCGCACGCTGGGCCTGAAATAATGTCTGTTTACAGAACGTGCCTTCTGTATACCCAACAGGATAGCGGGGTGCCTCAGCTGAAGGGCCCCTTAGATTTCCCAGCACAAAGTTCTATTAAGGCTCAAGATAAGTTCAACAAAGTTCTTTATTTGGGCTTAAATCTTCAAACAAATAAATTAAACACTTTATAACCTTGGAAAACCAATAGCTTCCTCAATCTGCCAACAAGGGGCAGGCACTGGTGGTGAACCGTTCCTTTCTTCCTAAGGGAAATCCTTTGACCCCTCCCTGGGCAATCTCTCTTTACCTTGCTGGCATGAGGCCCCTACTCCTGGTTGCAAGCTGCTTTATGGATAGCCCGAGTGGTCCCTTACCAGGCAAGGTTCCTGTAGATCTGCCAAGCTGAAAGGTGTCCTTTAGTTTCTCCACGAAGACAGTAGGAACTATTTCTTTACTCCCCAGCAAAGCTGTGGCTCTATTTCTTTAACCCCCAGCAAAAGCTGTGAGAAGTGAAGCCTTTGTGCAGGTGGGTGAGAGAGACCCACACGTCCTGCTGTTAGGCTCCAAAACAGTGAGACTGAACAAAGGTCCTCCTTTGCCTCCAAAACCCTGGGAAAAGGGGCGGGTCTAAAGATTCTAACGATGATTGCCAAGTTGTTGGCCCTATGATTGCAACCTGAGGGAAGCTACCTTATTGCAAAATGCATGGCTTAAATAGATTCATGCAAATTAGCAGTGCAAGAAAAAGAGGTTAAAATCACCTGGCACTTCCGTGCCAGCACAGGAGTAATCAGTCCCTCCTCCCTTCTTTTTTTTCTGATCACCTCATTGCTCCAGCAATCATAATTACAGGAACCAAGCAACAAACAATGCCATTTTCATGCTTTGTGGACACCACAAAGACCACAACAATGAGGAAAGGTCGGTGCCATTCTCTGTCCACAGACTTCTTGGGAAAGCGGGATGGCGGAGTCCCAGACTTCTTATTTGGGAAGCAGCACAGATGTTTATGCTGGCCCAAAATGCAGGTGAGCCCCAGAACTGCGGGGAACGTCTGAAGCAGGCCTGAACAACTTGTGGCCCTCCAACTGTGTTGGCCTCCAACTCCCAGAGGCCCTGGACAGCTAGTCCAATGGTCAGAAATTCTGGGAGCAGGAGTCCAAAGTAACTAGAGAGCCACCAGTTGTACAGGCCTGGTCTGGAGCATCTGGTGCCTTCGTTTACACAGGACAAGACCACAAACTTCATTCACTCCCAGGTCAATTCATGGCCCATGTACAAGTCTTGCTTCTTCATCTGCTTCCACTGCTATACATTCATCAGCAGCCCCAGCTTATTTTCTGCATCTTTATTTTTCTTTTGCTCAAATCATTCAATTACTGGTAGTCTAACAGTGATTACTTTGCCAAAAACTATTCATGTGATGGAAATAACAGAGCATTTAAAAACTTGGAAAGAGTGACTGACGCATGAGCTACATTCACAATTTTGGGCATAGCTTTGCAAATTAGTAACAAAACGTTGCTTGTTTTGGTTCCTTCAAGTCTGACTTATAGAGATCCGAAGGCAAACCTTTCATGAAGATTCCTCAGCAAGATTTATTCAGCAGTGGGTTCTTTTGTTTCTCTCTCAACCTGAGAGAGTGTTTCTTGAGCCCTGCTTGAAACCATAGTCCAGGGCTCAGTCACTACTGGCTCAACCACACTGGCTTTAACAAAGGATGTTTTTGGCTTAATATTAGGAAACACTGCATAAGCACTCTCAATACAGTTTTGTCATTGGTGATTAAAATTCAGATGCTTCATGGTTACCAGTAAACTATAGATGGCACTGCTTTATCAGGAATGTCTGTTTTTTGACTTCCTGAAAGAGCATTAAAATATTTGTCGGCCAAAATGCTGGACAATCTCACAACAAAATGTCACTTTATACTCTTCTGTTGTAGATCTCCCAGAATAGCCTGTATTGAGTAACAGATAGGAATGAATTCCTGAATCTTCTAACAAATTAGCACATGAGGAGTCTTTTAAAACCCAAAGATGCATCTGTTTGCCTGCAGGAGACTCTGTCATCCAAAATGCTGCCAATAGTGGAGTGGGACAGGCTGTTATCCAGATCGCAGCAGCCAAAGGTATCAAAACAATAAATGTGGTCAGAGATAGGTGAGTGTACAAATAAAACTGGGGTTTTGTAAGTCACATCTCAACTTATCTATCTCTGGCTCAGGCCCAGTGGGGCACTCTTAAGTTACCATTGTCCTTTGTCTAGTAGGGATGGGTATTCTAGAGCAAGGATAGGGAATATGTAGCCCTCTAAATGTTATTGGTCTTCAACTTCTTGCATCCATCTTCATTGGGTATGCTAGTCAGCACTAATGGGAATTGCAGTTCAACATATATAGATCCATACCTCCTACACATTTTGAAACCTCCCTTGCCTCTCTGTTTAAAAGTGCTGTTAAGTGGCAACATCCTGTTTATGGAGGCTTCACGTGTGGAATGTTGAATTATGGATAGGGTGTAAACTTCTTAGTTTACACTCTATTTCTGTAGTCTGGAGGATGGGGAGCACTTTGCAGTGCAACTTCTTTTTGACATCTGTCAGGGGTGCTTTGAATGCAATTTTCCTGCTTCTTGGCAGAATGGGGTTGGATTGGATGGCCCATCAGGTCTCTTCCTATTCAATGATTGTATGGTTCTATAACTTACTGATATAAATATAAGTGAATGTGATGTCTAAGAGATGCCACATGCCTATTCCCCAGAACTGCTTTGATTAGTAGCAATTTGTTAAGACAAATGTCTCTGTTGAACTTGGCACTTTACATATTCTGAACAAATTAAATGTAACAAAAACATGGAATCAGGTTTAGCAAGATAGACAAAACATACAAGAATTTATTTATTTATTTATTTATTTATTTACCTTACTTATATACCGCTGTTCTCAGCCCGAAGGCGACTCACAGCGGTTCACAACAAATACGAACAGCAAAAATTCAGTGCTACAGTATAGAAACAGTTAACAACCTAACACATTACACAATTAATAAACAGTTACTACAATACCCATTCACTGTCGTCTCGTCATCAAAAACATGTTCCAGATTCGTCATCCATTGTTCCATTCCAGTGTTCATTAACCAATCATTGCACTAATTATTGGAACGCCTGCTCAAACAGCCAGGTCTTCACTTTTTTGCGGAATACCATTAGAGATGGTGCTAGTCTAATGTCCGTAGGAAGGGCGTTCCACAGCCGAGGAGCCACCACTGAGAAGGCCCTATCTCTCGTCCCCGCCAGCCGTGCCTGTGAGGCAGGCGGGATTGAGAGCAGGGCCTCCCCGGAAGATCTCTAAGTCCTAGTGGGTTCATAGGAAGAGAAGCGGTCGGATAGGTAGCTTGTGCACTCTCTCCCTCTAACTATCTATCTATATATATATATGCTCTGTGCATAATGAGTACCTTAAAAACAAAAGAACCAATGAACGAAATCACACCAAATTTGGCAGCAAAATGTCTCACAACACAAGAAGTGACCATCACTCAAAAAATTATGATTTTGTCATTTGGGAGTTGTAGTTACTGGGATTTATAGTTCACCTATAATCAAAGAGCATTCTGAACTCCTCCAACGATGGAATTGAACCAAACTTGGCACACAGGACTCCCCTGACCAACAGAAAACACTAGAAGGGTTTGGTGGGCATTGACCTTGGGTTTTGGAGTTGTAGTTCATCTACATCTAGAGAGCACTGTGGACTCAAACAATGATGGATCTGGACCAAACTTGGCACAAATACTCAACATTCCCAAATATAAACCCAAATAGACCTTGACATTTATAATAAATAAACTGCACGGTTTGACTTGATCCCTTTTGTTTATGCCATACTTACCCATCTTGCTTTCTAGACCCAATCTCCAAGAACTAGTGATCAGATTAAAGTCTCTTGGAGCTGACCATGTCATCACAGAGGACATGCTAAGAAAACCAGAGATGAAAGAACTCTTTAAGGTAGAGATGACAATTATTTTCTGGAAGTTTTCTGGAAGTTTAAGATTTTGAAGCCTTATATCCCAGAATATCAAGTCAGAAAATCCCACATTATCTGAGTATGGACTCAGATAACCCAGTTCAAAGCAGATATTGTGGGATTTTCTGGCTTGATTTTCTGGGATATAGGGCTGTGTGGAAGGGCCCATATTTGCTATAATGAGTCAGGACGTCTTGTTCATAAATGGCTGAATTGTTTTAGCCATGATGGTACTTCAAGGAAAGATGCAAGATGAGCGAGAGGAATTTCTTTTTAAGTGGGCACTGCATTCAGATCAGAAAATGAATATGGATCTTTCTTACCATTTACTTCTGCAAACACCCTCCCCCTTTGAAGAAATTCTGCCAAGAAAACCTCATTATTAGTTCACCTTAGGCCAGAGATGACTTGAAGACACAATGGATATGAACAAGGGCTAAAATATTGTTATAGGGTAACCATATTTCCAAAAATACACAGGAAGACCTTCTAACAATTGGTGGATATTTTTGTTTCCAAACATCCATATCACCTTCTTTCACAGTAAAAGCACACAGGATCCAACAATATTGTTCCTCGATTGAATTCTTTATTATGGGAATATAATTTAAAATCATACATACATTTATAAATATCAAAGATTTTTCTTATAATATAGTGTCAGCTCACAGCAGCCAGGTTCAATGATGACACAAGACCTCCTTCCGTTATCAACAAAGAACTTTACTGGTAGATGCATAGACATAGGAAAAGCCGAGATTGTTCAGCCACGGCTGGCAACCCCTTATATACACGCCCAATCATTTGAAGTGTGGATTCCTGCCGAACCCAAAACCCTGCGTAAAGCTTCCCGCCACCAGGCAACTGCCTCCCCCCAAGGTCACCAGCTGCACGGTCCTTATCAGGGCGAAGCGTCAGGACTCTAGTTTTCAGCGCCAAAGCCCAGGCTCCGGAAACTGGATCCTGACAATATAGTAATACATGGTAACACATCCGATAAAAATGAGTAACTAATGAAAACACACATAGGCCACTAGGAATCATTATTTGTATTATATCACACCATTTCATTGAAGCAGACTGAGTGTGTATTTGGAGCCTAGTGCATTCGAAGCATCAATTTCTGGTAAAAAGTTTTTGGGTACAGAAGCTAGGGCAGTTTTACATTGATGAATTTTCACAGGAAATCAAACTCTTTGTCTGACTCAATTGTAACATCATTAACATTATACTTTAGTCAGTGCTTCCCAACATCATTTTCTCTGAGGATATATGTAAAGTTTCCAGCATAGCAGGGGTTGCCAAGGTACTCATAACTGATAGTTCATATGTAGACATGAAAAGGTGTTGCAGCTGTAAATAGTTGCTACTTATTGGTAATTAATAAATAGACTACAATATTGAAAATGGCAAAAAAAAATCATAGTCCTGGTGAATCAATTGATCCAAAATACAAATCCCATTGCCAGCTCTTTCTTTCATCAACAGTGGTTGAGAAGTTATTGGGCATATTGGTAAATAGTAAATAGAACAGTGGGCAGCAGTTTATTCAGTCCATGATTCGTTTACTTTCTGTTTGTAAACTAAAGGTAATGGAACTGTATTATCACTGTATATATTGTTTCTTTATGTATGGTTTATAATAATTGTATTCAATGTTTACATTTTTGGTTACAAGTAGTCTATAATGTTAGTAAATAAATTAAGTTTTGGAAGACTGAAATATTTCAGCATGAGCAAAATTTTTGAATGAGGTTATGCAATTTGATTTAAGATGGGTAAAATTTGTTTTTTTCAGACAATTCCTAAGCCTATGTTGGCTTTGAATGGCGTAGGAGGGAAAAGCGCTACTGAGTTGCTGCGTCATTTGCAGTAAGTTTAGCTTTTGTCCAGTATTCAAAGTTTTTTTAAGAGTTTCATTTGCTGAGAATCAAGATAACAGCTGCATATACACTGTAGAATTAATGGAATTTGACACAACCTGAACGGCCATGCTGGCATAGCAACAAAATCTTTAGCCTTCTCTATCAAAGAGCATTGAGCCATGGCAGTTAAAGTGCTGTCAAGCTGCATTGATTCTGCAGTGTAAATGTAGCTTTAGTTACACATAGTGTAAGTTCATTGAAATAGATGGGGCAAGTAAATAGCTCACGCTCACTATTTGAAAGACTATACTATAAGAATGATTAAGTCAGGGCCAAAATATTTCAAAAATACTGAAGATTTCTTAATGTTTTTATTTATTTTTACTTGCAACATAAATATTTGCAACACTGAGGCATATCAATGACTCATAAATCAATGCTGAGTGAATACTATTGATTATTGCTGGAACCTTCTGTTCTCACTGATACCACTTTGCAAAATCTTGATGTGTGTGCATACATAAATACCTCTGTTTTTGAAGAAGCAACTTACTGGAAAATTGGAAAGCTTCATTCAAATGTCAAACATACTTTCATGGGATACAAGTTTCCATCTTGATTTCGGTCGTATTGATCACTCCCTCAACTATTCAGCTTGGTTAGCATCTCAAAGGAAAAATAAGGGATATAAAAGCAATGATGTATCTTCCCTGATGAACTGAGAAGCCCCTAAACTTCAAGGCTGATGACATTCAACTCATTCTGAGGATGGAAGGCCGACCGGACTCCATACCCGATAATTTCCATCAATGCCTTGCGGCCATTACTGGATGGTTGCGTGCCAGCAGGTTGAGGGTAAATCCAGCGAAGACGGAGATCCTTTGGCTGGATCGCCCAGACGGAGGGGTGATCTGGTTGCCTGCCCTGGATGGTGTAACATTATGCCCGTCATCTTTGGTAAAGAGTCTGGGTGTCCTTTTACACCCTATGCTGACGATGGAGTCCCAGGCCTCCGCTGTGAAGCAGAGCCGCATTTTTCCATCTGTCAGGCTAGGCGACTGGCTCCCTATCTGTCCAAGGATGACCTGGCCACGGTGATCCAGGCTACGGTCATCTCAAGGTTGGACTCTTGTAACGCCCTCTACATAGGCCTGCCTTTATCGGTGATCCGGAAACTTAAACTACTGCAAAATGCTGCTGCTCGGCTTTTCGCAGCAGTCTCAGCGAGCTGTCATATCACTCCAATCCTGCAGCAACTGCACTGGTTGCCGATTGAGTATCGGAGTACCTTCAAAGTGCTGATTCTTACCTTCAAGGCCTTATATGGCTTGGGGCCGGAATACCTGAGGGACTGCCTCATCCCCTACAAACCCCAGAGATCACTCCGTTCAGATGACCAGAATTTACTTGGAAGTTCCCAATTTTAAGACCTTTCACCTGATGTCTACTAGGCGTAGAGCATTTACGGTGGTGGCTCCTTACCTGTGGAATGCCTTGCCAGCGGGGACATGAGCTCTTCGAGATTTACTAGCCTTTCGTAGAGCTTGTAAAACTTATTTATGTAGGCTGGCATTTGAACCTTGCTGATCGAATTTTTCCTTGATTTAATGTTATGTATTACATGTGTATATTGTGAACCTCTCCGAGCCTTCGGGGAATGGCGGTATATAAAATTGATTAATAAATAATAAATTAATTAATAAGGCTGAAGGGCATGTTTCCAGCTGCTTTCTTAAAATCCAGGAAGAGAAAGGAGATCCTTCAGGATAGCTATGAAAGGCTCCTCTGTGCAATAGCTATTTGAACATATATTTAAAATAGAGTCCACAAGGGCTGTCCTGCACAACCCCTTCCATGCAAGAACACACAATCAAAGCATTCCTGACAGATGGACATCCAGGCTCAGTTTAAACACCTCCAGAGAAGAAGACTCCCTCACGCTCCGCAGCAGCACATTCTACTTTTGAGCAACTCATACAATCTGGATGTTTTTCCTAATGTTTAAGTAGAATCTCTTTCCTGTTGTTTGGATTCATTGCTCCATATCATAGTTTCTGGAGCAGAAGAAAGCAAGCCTGGTCCCATCACAGTGTGGCATCATTTCACATTCTAAACATGGCTGTTATGCTCCATCTTAACCTTTCGGTCACGCTTCTCTGGACATGGTCTAGCTTGTCAATATGCTCCTTGAATTGTGATGCCAAAACTATATAGATCACAAGCTGAATGAGTCAACACTGTCATATGACAACTGAAAAAGCCAATGCGATTCTAAGCTGCATCAATATGTATATAGGAAGGAAACTCACTGCAACATGTCCCTAAACGCACTTTATTAATGATCTAAGATTGTCTGCACATTTCTTCCCTCTCCAAAATTTCTATCCCAGTTACATATTACCTTGTCATGCCCAGCATTATTTTTTTTAAAAAAAAATTATTACATTTGGCCCAGCCATAGGTTTTTTAAATGTGCCGTGTTATTGTTAATGTTTTGCTTATTTTTGCTTATGAGTTTTTTATTGTTTTGTATTATTGTTGTTATTGTTTATTGTTGTATTGTGGGCTTGGCCTCATGTAAGCCACACCGAGTCCCTTGGGGAGATGGTAGCGGGGTACAAATAAAGTTTTATTATTATTATATAGCAAGCATGGGCAAATTTTCTACTATATACTGGTTAAGAATTGTGGAAGTTGAAGTCCAAAACACCTGTAGGCCCAAAATTTGCCCATGCTTGCTATATACCTATTGATGCAGCTTAGAATCACATTGGCTTTTTCAGTTGTCATATGACAGTGTTGACTCATTCAGCTTGTGATCTACTAAGATTTCTCGACCTCTCTCACTTGTACTGTTGCCAAGTAATGTGACATTCATCCTACATCTCTGTATTTCATTTTTCCTGCCTAAGTGTAGTACCTTACATTTCTCCCTACTGGCAGTCAGTTTGTTGTACTCAGGACAAGGATTGTTAATTCTTGTCTTGAGCAGGAGTGTTGATCCTCCTGATCTATATCGGCTTCTTCCCATAGGCATAAAGGGACAATGGTTACCTATGGTGGGATGTCTAAGCAGCCCCTGACAGTTCCTGTGGTGAGTAGTCACGTGACTTCTGGTCTACTTGAATTCTTTCCTTTCAATGCTTCCTTTTTTCAACAGTCGAGTTCCTATTATATGTATCCATTATGCTTTCCTGACAGTCACCCATCTCTTTCCTTAGTAAAACAGCCAGTTCTTGGATCAACCTATGTGGAGATGCACCTAGTCTCTTAAAATCTGTGCTGTAGTATCTTTTAAAAATGTATTGAAAACATTTATGAATTATAACCCTTTGCATTTCTACAGAGTGCATTGATCTTTAAGGACGTGAAACTTTGTGGCTTTTGGATGACCCAGTGGAAAAGGGAACACAGCTTGAGTAAGTGATAGCAGTAAGAAAGGGTTAGGGAGTAAATAAAAGGGAAAAGTGCAATGGAAGACCATGTGTGAAAAAGATCCTGGGTTTGGTCCTTCAGATATATCCATAGTAAGTCCATGGGTAAGATCTCTGTCTGAGATGCTTAATCACTTCCTGGTGACTGATTGGTTGACTGTGATCTAATCTTTGTATGTCTCTGCTGGTTAGCTTAAGATGTTTGTATTAGAAAGCCTGGACTACATTAATGCATATGTAAAATTGTACTTTTTCAATCAGGTTGTCCTAGTAATAGTTCAGCAGTGGGCAAATTCAGATAACCAACTCCTTGCACTGTACATCCTGCTACAGGCCACAACATCACTCTGGAAACTGGAAGTGTCCCAGAGTCTGCTTCCTGTTTTGTGAAAGCAATTATTTGAAGACAAAACAAGTTGTAGAAGATCACTGGGGAGGTGGGGAGTGGTCGTAGGAACACTATGAGTCTGTGCAATGTGTTTTCTATCCATGATGAGGCTCATGGGTTGTAGTAAGCAATGGGCTCTACTACCCATGTACATTTGGCCTCTGACTTCCCCAGCCACTACCTTGTGTCTGATTATTGTTCATGAACAGAAGGTTGTTTAAAAACTATAAAGCTGATTCCACCTGCTTGGTATCTGCAGGTCCTTAATTTGTGCTATGCCAAAATGTAAACTGACTGGAATATCATAGCTCTAGTTTCACACTCTAAACATCTTGTGTCATTTTTGCATGTTTCTAGATAGAAAAAAACCAATATTTTCTTGATATTCTTCTTATGGCACAGTTTCCTTATCTTAGTTATACTAGAACTTCTTTGTTCTAAGCTGAATAGTTCATAAATGAGAACAGAGATCATCTGTCATTTCTTTATTTGGTTTCTTGCAATATAGGCAAGGAGAAACTGGAAGGCATGATCACAGATTTATGCAAGCTCATTCGTATGGGTCAACTTGCTTCTCCAGCCTGCCAAGAGGTCCCACTGGAAGACTACCAGACAGCTTTGAAAGTCTCCATGAAGCCATATGTATCGGCCAAGCAGATCCTCCTGATGTGAAATATATGCTACAGGAAAAAAAACCCCATACATAACTGGTCCCAATGGAATTCAATTCCTACTGGCCTAAGTGCTATTTGGTCTAGAAGACTGGACCATTTCATAGACCGATTGGCCTGTGGCTTGAGAGGGAGAGCTGGACTACAGATGTAGAAATGACCTCGTCTGTAGACCTTGAATATATAAACTTATCAATAATGATGATGATCCTATTTAATAGTATGCAAAGGGACCTTGTTGTACCCAAGAAGGAGGGAGGTTTATAGCATAACCTTTCATTGACTGGGTCTATTATTGTAGTTGCATGGATAAAGTAGACCCAGCCTACATAAGCTTATGCTGCAAACATTTTTCTCAATCCCAAAGGTATCATAAGATCTCTTTGATCTAATCCAGATTAAGGTGCCTATTCAATAGTAGTTGATGGTATTGGAGATCAAAATTCTGTTCTACACAATCAAGGAATACTCATAAGTCTTGTGTCAAAATGGTAATGATGACGCAACTCTTGGACACAACTTCAAGAGTTCTGTACCCTGATTTGCAATGTGTCTACATTCAAAGTATCACTAAATGTTGTGCCTCTCTCGGCCTCTCATTGAATATTGAGAAAATCAAAGTGGTCTTCCAGCAGGCACCAGCCAATCCCTCTGCAATGCCAGAAATACAGCTTAATTGGAAAATGTTGACCATTTCCGCTCCCTTGGCAACCACCTCTCCACATCAGTCAACATTGACACTGAAATACAACATTGCCTGAGCTCTGCGAGTGCAGCATTTTTCCAAATGATGCACAGAGTGTTTGCGGACCAGGACATCCGTAGGGAGACCAAGGTGCTTGTTTTTAAAGCCATTGTCCTCTCAACCCTGTCATATGCCTGCGAAATGTGGACTGTTTACAGACGGCACATGCATCTCCTGGAATGATTCCATCAGTGTTGCCTCCAAAAACTCCTGCAGATCTCTTGGGAAGACAGGTGGACAAATATCAGTGTGCTGGAAGAAGCAAAGACTACCATAATTGAAGTGATGTTCCTCCACCCAACTTCACTGGAACAGCCATGTCCGAATGCCCAATCACCGTCTCCCAAAGCAGGTACTATACTCCCAACTCAAGAACAGGAAACGTAACGTTGGTGGACAGGAAAAGAAATTGAGAGATGGGCTTAAAGCCAATCTTAAAAACTGGCATAGACACCGAGAGAGAACTGGGGAACCTGGGCCATTGAGTGCTCTAACTGGAGGTCAGCTGTGACCAGTAGTGCTGCAGAATTCAAAGAGGCACGAACGGAGAGCAAAAGGGAGAAATGTGCCAAGAGGAAGGTGGGTCAAGTCAACCCTGACTGGGACCGCTGACCGCCTGGAAATCGATGTCCTCACTGCGGGAGAACATGTAGATGAAGAATAGGGCCCCAGAGCCACCTATGGACCCACCGCCAAAACACCACATCTGGAAGACCATCATCCTCGAGCTACGAGGGACTGCCTAATTAAATAAAGTAAGTAAATGTTATGACTGGATTTCCTCATTTTTGGTGTTAAACATCTCAGGAGTTCTTTTGAAATTATTCCTCCATTAAAAGGCTTTTTAAAGTTGCCGAGTTCTGCACACCTTATATATAGAGAAACGGTTCTGCAGACAGATAGCATTTTCTAGATTGAAGAACTGCTGTACAAATAAGTGTTCCCCAAAAGCAAATCTTGATTTTGCAATTTTGTATAAGGGACAAATGTTTTCTATATACTGTATATACTCGAGTATAAGCCGACCCAAATATAAGCCGAGGCACCTAATTTTACCACAAAAAACAGGGAAAATGGATTGACTCAAGTATAAGCCGAGGGTGGGAAATGCAGCAGCTACTGGTAAATTCCAAAATAAAAATAGATTCCAATAAAATTGCATTAATTGAGGCATCGGTAGGTTAAATGTTTTTGATTAAAACTGTAAGTTAAGATTGTCCTCTGATTAAAGCATTATTTTAACCTTCTTCAGTGTAAATGTGTTTACATATCCTTTGAATAATAATAGAGTAAAATAATAAAAAAAAACCTTGACTCGAGTATAAGCCGAAGGAGACATTTTCAGCCTAAAAAAAGGACTGAAAAACTAAGCTTATACTCAAGTATATACAGTATATATAAAAATGCTCTGTGCATAATGAGTACCTTAAAAACAAAAGAACCAATGAATGAAATCACACCAGATTTGGCAACAAACGTCTCACAACACAAGGAGTGACCATCACTCAAAAATTATGATTTTGTCATTTGGGAGTTGTAGTTACTGGGATTTATAGTTCACCTACAATCAAAGAGCATTCTGATGGAATTGAACCAAACTTGGCACACAGAACTCCCATGACCAGCAGAAAATACTGGAAGGGTTTGGTGGGCATTGACCTTGAGTTTGGGAGTTGTAGTTCACCGACATCCAGAGAGCACTGTGGACTCAAACAATGATGGATCTGGAGCAAACTTGGCACAAGCACTCAATACGCCCAAATATGAACACAGATGGAGTTTAGGGGTTAGACCTTGACATTTGGGAGTTGTAGTCACTGAGATTCACAGTTCACCTACAATCAAAGAGCATTCTGAACCCCACGAACGACAGAATCGGGGCAAACTTCCCACACAGAACCCCCATAACCAACAGAAAATACTTAAGGCCATCCAGTCAAACTCCCTTCATCAGGGCAAGAAAACCCGAAACCCGATGCAACCCGAAAGACAGTTGCATCTGTCAAGTAGGAAAATTAGGTACCACCTTAAAGTGTGGGGAGGCTAAATTAACTGATTTATGAGGCCATAAAGAAGACTCCAGCAAAGCATTCCAGCGGGGAAGCATGTGGGGAATGCGGAAGTGCTTCATCAGCGTCGCAGATGGATGATGAAAGCGACAGCTCCCCTGGCGGCCAGAAAAAGTTAAATAGCCTCTGTGTAAGTCGGTATATGTTTGTATGTCAAAAATTGGCATTGAATGCTTGCCATATATGTATACACTGTAATCCGCCCTGAGTCCCCTGCGGGGTGAGAAGGGCGGAATATAAAAGCTGTAATTAAATAAATAATAAATATTATCAAAGTCCTCCTGACAAAGAGCCATCCAGCCATAGATATAGGTAGATGGATAGATAGATATGATTCACACACACAGATATAGTATCGTAGATTTGAAAGGGACCCTTAAAGAAGGACAATGGTATGTTGCATGTTTCAGGGTGGGCGAACGAGACACTCCACATCAACACTGACAAAGAAACGGCAAGAAATACTGTTTAGCCACAAGCATAAAGAAATTGCATATATTGGAAACCAACACTTTCTCGTTACTTTATTTTCCAGATCAACAGACTGGGCCACAGCAACGCGTGGCAAGGGACAGCTAGTTATTGTGTATAATGGGTTGAGTATCATAGATTTTGGTATCCGGGGAAGGTGGGGTGGCATCCTAGAACCAAGTCCCAGCTGATGTCAAGGGCTCACTATAGAAAAAGCAGAAAATATACAGAGTGCAGAACAACTCAGGGAATGTGAGATTTTTCTGGTGGCTTCATGTTCCAGAAGGTATAAGGGGGATTGGGTATTGTAGGATCCCATACTAACCAACACTGATGACTTGGTAAATGGGGTGGGTGTGGTGGGTTCCTTAGATGGGAGTGGCCATGTTCTAGTTATACAGCTGAAAGGAGAAATCAGGCATAGTCGGGCACATACTCGACTTTTAGGAAGCTGACTTCAGTAAACTTGGGGAGGGAAACCGAGTGTGTTTCCATGGTCAGGAATAATAAACAGGAGTTCATGGTGGATGGAAGTTTCTGAAAATCTAAATATTGGAGGCACAATTTCAAGCCACCCCAATGAGGAGGAAAAGTAAGAGGTGCCTAAAGAAACCCAAATGGATATCTTTTAAAAATTCAACTGAGCCGAGATTTAAAAGGGATGCATACAAGAAATGAAAGAGTAATCGCCAAATAAAAATTTAAATGAAAAGCTAGCAATTGCAAGGACCTGACAGCCAATTGAGAAAGTAAGACACAACTGAAGACCATCTCTTCCAGCAAGCCTTCCCAGTCAACTGAAGCATGAGTTTTGCATTTGCAGTCTATTATCACTGCATTTGTACTCTGTGTTTTGATATATTGTGTTTTTGTTGATATGTTTTGAGTGTGTTGTACTCTCCTTTAATACAGGAAAGGCGGGTAACAAATTAAATATTATTATTATTACTATTATTATTACGAGGTCTTTTTGTATGTTAGGATTGTCAGGGCTCGGTTTCCTGGCCTTGGACATTGGCGCAAAAAACCAGAATCCTGACATGGAGAGCCGATAAGAGTATGCAGCTGGTGGCCTTGGGAGGAGCAGTTGGGGGTTGGCGGGGAACATTGAGCGGGAACTACGGTCGGCGGGAAAAGGGGATTCGAATATGGGGGAGGGTATATAAGGGTTAACTTGAGACTGTGTGCCAATCCTGGCTTTCATTGTGTATGCATATCCAGTAGTAAAAGTTTCCTGATTGATTACGGATCGGCATCCTGTGTCATTCTTGGGGCGGCTGCTGGGAGCTTACATTAAGCCAGGATTGCTCGGTGCCATCCCACGGCTGTGGTGAGGCACCCCCATGCAGGGAGAGGAGGACCTAACAGAAAATCCAACGGGAGGGAGAGAACCAGACTCCCCTTTCGAGAATGCGGAAGAAGAGCTGGAGAGAGTAAATGCCTTGGCTTCATCGACTGCATATGCCCAGCCCAACGGAGTCACCCAGAGACGAGTGAAGGGGGCAGCGGCGGCAGCGCGAGAAAGCAGTGGGCTAGACTTTCCCTCCCCGCAGAGATTGGACTATCTGGAGGAGAAATTGGCTTCCATGGAAACCACCCTCGCGATGATGTCGAGGGTGATGGAGAGATTGGCCCCGTTGTTAGAGGAGCCACCACCCCGAGGAGACTCGATGTGGAGCGCGGGGGAGAGGAGTGACCGGGAACCCGGGGCACGATCTAAAACGCAGGCGAATTGGAGAGCCGTGGCGGAGAGTGATGAGGAGGAAGGGCAACCACGGGGACTGGCGGCGGCGTCCCAGCAGACATCCCTGGTGCCCCCGGCAGGGGCCGGGCGTGGCACAGGGCGACGTGAATTGCCACCGGAGCGGCACGAGCTCCCAGGAGGGCCACCCCGAGCGGAGAGCCGGGAGAGGCAACCCCTTCCTTACCAACCCAGGAGGGAGGAGCTGAGGATTGAATTCGGAGGAGAAGCCGGGAGCCTCGCGTACTTCCTGACCATGGTGAGAGGGTATCTGGAGGATAACGCCCTTACCTTCGGATCGGAAGCAAGCCGAGTGCGGGCGGTGGGTGCGGCGCTGAGAGGAGGAGCGGCGGAATGGTATGTCCAGCTCCACGCCAGGCATGACCCATGTTTGGGTTCTACGAGGCGATTCCTGGCTGCGATGGAGGCGCGCTTCAGGGATCCGCTCGAGAGGGTCCGGGCGAGGGAAAGGCTGCAAACGATAACACAGGGCCATCGCTCCGTGTCTGAATATGTAGAGGAGTTCCGGTTGAGGGCCGAAAAAGTGCCGGAATGGTCCAACACCACTAAGGTCCAGATATTCAAAGAGGGCCTGCGGAAGGAAATCCTGACCTGGGCACTTCATCGCGACGATCCGGAGGAGATAGGCGGATGGATCGAGCTGGCTGGCCGCATCGAAACCACGTTGGCCCAGATCAAGAGACATCAAGGAGCGGCGCCGCAGCAGACGAGAGCAAAGGAGGAGAGTCGGAGGACGGAGAGAGGCACGATCGGGAAGGGCCCCACCGGAGGACCCAAGGAGCAGAGGGGCGGCTGTTTTGTATGCGGTCGCCTTGGCCATCGGGCGGCCAAATGTCGACAAAGGAGAGGGGTAGATCCCCATTTCCAAAAATTCAAACCAGCCGTGGGGAAGAGAGCAGAAGAGAGCCCCCCTAATAGGGCCCCAGTGGGAGATCTGGTGAGTCACAACCCAGGAATGCTGGTGTTCCCAATCAGGCTAGAAGGGGAGGGGAAATGGGCCAGCTGCAAAGCCCTCATGGATTGCGGCTGCTCCAGAAACATTATGACCCCAGAATTAGCGGACGAACTGAGCTGTAAGCAAACCCTTTTGCAAAATCCCATAGCATTTTCGCAGCTGGATGGCTCAGTAGCGGCTGGAGCCCCAGCGCGATTCGAAGTGGGGGAGGTGAGATGTAAAGTGGGGAGCTGGGAAGGCGACATAACCTTC